AAAGCAGAAAATGAAAACATTCCAGAGTTGCCAATATTAAGAGTCTGTGGAATAAGATTCATTAGGCCTAACAAGAATGATCAATATGGATTGGTAAATACTATGGGAATATCCCAAAAAATAGGGGAGATGTGAATACTTTAAGGAACAACACATGCAAATACAGAATATAGATACAGAGAAGTAAATCGACTAGAAGATAAAATGGCAAATGAAGCATTCATGCAGTAGGAAGGGATTCAGTGGATAATTTCATTAATTAACAGCTGACTGTTAGAGAATAATAAACATAGATATAATAGGAATGCCAAAATTGAGAATTAACACAAGAAGGGTCAGCATGCAGAAGCAGTAGATCAATGCCAAGCTTATTCGATCCCTGCCATGGGGCCAGCATCATACCGAAGTCATAAGGCGTGTGAAGGGAAAGACACAAGCAGCTCAAGTTTTCAACATGGTCCACACAGAATTGTTACACTGTCTGTCGATAAGAAATATGAGATTTTCTTAACAAAGGAGTAGAGAGTCAAATGCCATTGCAAAAGACATAGCATTTTTTTTGTAGTATTTGTGGCCCACCCTGGATTATATGTCTCATGTCTACTTTCAGATTTGGTTGTGACTGAGTAATACCTAATGGATGAATTTTGTAGCTAGTTTTGTGTAGGTAGCTATTGATATTATAATTTCTTTACATTAGCGATTAATGAAATGGTTTTTTACAAAAAATTATTTGCGCAGAAAAAAGATGTGAGGCATTTTGAAGATGTTTCACTTATTAATCAGACTAATGATAAAGTTTTTGAAATTTTAGCCAGGATTTTGTGTACTTTATATGTTCGGATTAGTAGTATGTTTGGTAATATTGTTGTCGTAAACAAGGATCGTTTAGGTAATCGTGGATTCATTGAGAACATAACATATACTATATATTTGAAAAGCAATATAATATTCACTATGAAACAATGCGACAAAAATCTTGGTACTAGAAAAATAGGTGATTATATATATGCTTAAATAAAACGGACAGACAACATGATCATTTAGATATGGCTTCCATCTATTGAAAAATGGTACCATTAGCAACCTCTGAATGGAACACAACCTTCACCTAAAACATAAAAACGTAGAGTATGCTTATCCAAATAACCATATGAAGAGTAAAACTTAGGGGCAACAATTAAAATACAACATCCACTATGCAATGGGACTTGATTTTGCACTCTACTAGAGGCAATTAGGATATTGATACTTGGAACAAATTGTACATGGTAAATTTCAAGAATGTTATAAGAAGAAACTAAGCAATAAATTGAGATTTCGAAGACCTTCTATGTATCTTGAGTACACTATAAAGATAAAGGAAAATCGATTTACTAACTTGTTTAATGGTACTATCTATTTATCACTTCAAGACACAGGTGTTGAAGGCTGACGAAGTAGTACTCTAGCAAGATGTTCATATTTTCGCTCCAGCTCATCCATGCATTAACATTTGTTCTCTAACTCATCCATGCGTCATTTTAGTGATTCATTTTATAATTCACATGCATTCAATTTATCTAACAATGCAGTCTTCAAAGAGTTCCCACCTTTAAACTCTTTAGCCGTTATCCTTCCACCAAATCAAATTACATGACTCTTACGTTGAGGTTAAAAAAGCACTTTTATACAACCTCAATATCTGTAAGAGAAGAATCATATTGAACCAATTTTTTGATTTTAGCCTGTAGAATACAAAAAAACATAAATAATACAACACGCAAAGTTAAATGATCAAAAACAAAATTTATCACTAAACATTTATATTTTGCATTAGTTTCAGGTTCGACAAGCTTGTAATCCTTCTTACGTTTCTCCAAGAAGATCAAATGCATTTTTTGTTGTTTACCGTCTTTACCTCCCTTAACATACAAATAAAAAAGTAAAGAAAGTCATCTTAAATTATTTTAGAAAATGAGAGTCTTCTTCAAGAGTTGAAAAACTTACTTAACAATTCATAAGTAATTTCTCTAATAGGCTTACTGCTAGTACGATGAGGATACTCAACTTGGACCTGTTGACAATGTTTATTTCACTTGTTTCCTTTATTCATAACATACCATAAAAATTATAGTTAGTATATTCAAATAAAACGTTAATAAATAAATACTTTTGAGTTATACCATAAACTTGTGACTTAACAAATGCTCCTTAACCAGCCATTCCCAATCACTCTTGTCTACCCCTCTTGGCAAATCTCTTAGAATATCACCAAATTGTTTAGACTTCATAATCAGGTGAATTTATCCTCTACAGTTATTCCACAAACTTCTCATATGTGAAGGACATGTTATTTCTTAGCATTATGTAGTCACAGCTAAATTTATCCTACAATATTTCACAGGCACTATTAAACATAATCTCAAACTTTCCGCCAAACTAGAAGTGAACTAAATCTAGATTTCGTACTTATGGTACTCTTCTAGTGGATAGTGATATATATGTCATGAGAAATGCATGATTAGCCGGTGGATTGGATCAAGAGAAAAAATTATATATATAACAACAGTGCATATATTATTTTGCAAACATTACTCTAATGTTATATATATACTGTTTGGTATAAAATGTACCACGTTAATTTTACTCTTCAATGATGAGAAGTGAGTGACGAAGCTATCAGTTATAGCTCTCTAAATAATTATCATAACATTTGACATGTTCGACATAAAATATGTCCCGTTAGTGTATTTTTTTCAAGATGAGAAAGTAAAAAATGAAGCGATAACCTAATACCTCCGTAAATACCATAACAATATCTCAAATGTATGCATAAAATTTGTTGTTGTCTTACATTTTTCCATAAGAAAAGTCAGATCTAATGCAATTAGCTAATAACTCTCTAAATACTTGTCTTAGTACTGCTAGGATCTAATTCACGCACACAATTCTCCCACAATTCTAGAGAGAGAAACAGAAAACTCAATATTTCATGGTAACAAAGCGTGAGTAAACTTCCACAGCGGTGAGGTATATTTATATTAATGAATAAGAGTATTTTTTGTTATAGAGAATAAATAGAGAATAAATAGGAAAGCCTAAATAGAGAATAAATAGGAAAGCCTAAAATAGAGAATAAATAGGAAAGCCTAATATTAATCAGGCTCCACTACCTAACAATTCTCCCACTTGGAGACTGACTCTGTTATTCTAAAAATACATTCTCAAAAAAAATCTCTTTATCATCAACATCTTTACCGCATCGCAACATCTATAGCAACACTTACACAAGACCAACTGAGGTTTTACATAACCTCAGCTTCTCAACATCAACACATTTCATCAATATGTCTGCCCGGTTCTTTGCACCCTCAATTTTCTCCAAGCACATATCACCATCCTCCACAGCCCTGCGAGTGAAATGGTATAGCCTTCTGATTTGCATTGTCTTCGAATGATAAACTGCATTTTAACCAACTATATGGCACTATGGCTATCTGAGTAAAGAATCTTCTCGCTCTGCTTCTTGCCCTAATCCTCAAGATAATCTGCCAGCCATATTATCTCTTTCCCAGCTTTAGTAGATGAAAGAGAAACAGATTTTTGAAGCCTGGACATCCAACTCACTTCTGTTCCACCTATGGTGTAAATGTGCCCGGATGTACTCTTGCTCGAGTCAACATCCCCACCAAGATCAGCATCCACAAAACCCTGTAGAGTCACCTTACCTTTACCAAAACAAAGTGAAGTACTGGATGTACCTCTCAGAAATCTTAGAATCCACTTCACAGCTTCCCAATGCTCTTTCCCAGGGTTCGCCATGTACCTGCGAAGAACTTCCACTGCATGTGCTATATCAGGTCTAGTGCTGACCATAGCATCCATCAAACTACCAACTGCTTAAGCATATGGAACAAGTGCCATGTGATCACGCTCCTCGGAAGACTTGGGTGACTGCTCCTTTGACAATTTAAAGTGATTTGCCAATGGAGTAGTCCTGGGTTTAGCATCGTAAACTCTGAATCTGCTCAGCACCTTCTCAATGTACAGCTCCTGAGATAGATTTAAAGTGCTAGCAGATCTATCCCGAGAAATCTTCAATTCAAAAATCTGTTTTGCTGGACCCAAATCTTTCATCTCAAATGCTGCAGGCAACCTTGTCTTCAGATTGTTAATCTCCCTCATACTAGATCGTGCAATAAACATATCATCCATATACAAGACTAAAAAGACATATGAATCAGTGTATTTCTTAAAGTAACAACAAGGATCTTTTTCAGCTTGCAGAATCAACTCTTGGTCGTGAAGTAGTCAAATTTCTTGTACCACTGCCTTAGTGCTTGCTTTAGTTCATACAAGCTTTTGGTGAGCTTGCACACCATGTGTTCCTTGCGTGTAACCACAAATCCTTCCAGTTGCTGCATATAGATCTCTTTGTCCAGATCTCCATGTAAAAATGCTTTTTTTACATCCATTTTCTCTAGATGCAAATTCTCCGATGCAACAACACTCAACAGAATTCGAATAGAGGTTTACTTCACGACATTGGAGAATATTTCAGCATAATCAATACCTTTCCTTTGTGAATATCCTTCAACCACTAAACGAGCCTAGAAACTTTTTTTGCCATCTGTTTCAGTCTTGATTCTTAACACCCACTTGTTCAGCAAAGCTCTCTTCCCTACAGGTAGCTCAGTTAACACCCATGTGTCATTTTTCTCAAGTGACCTCATCTCATCATCTATGTCTTGCTCCCACTTGATCGAATCCTCCACCTGTAGGGCCTCATGAAAAGACTCTGGTTCCCCCTCATCTGTCAGCCATAGATAGTGTAATGAAGGTGAATGTATATCTGGTACCCTAATGGATCTGGATGATCTCCTTAACACCTGCTCAGGTGTAACTTGCCCCACTTCAGATTATTCAGTACGAGTTTGTTGAGTATCTGCTTCGACATCTCTAGGGTTACTCTTCTCCAACTATACCTCAACTCCCACTTGCTTTGTAATCTCTAGAACCTTCTGCTCTCTATCCTTATACACGACAGGCTCATCGAATGTCAAATCACAATGTCTCAGGATCTTTCTGTTCTTGTAATCCCAAAACCTATAACCAAAAAAATCAGAACCATAGTCTATGAAGTAACACTTCACAGCCTTGGCATCAACCTTGTCTCCTTTTTCTGGGTCAACATGAACATAAGTAGTGCAACCAACAGTCCTCAAGTGTGAGTACTTGAGTTCTTTTCCTGTCCACACCTCCTTTGGAATCTATAACACTATAGGAACTAAAGGTCCCCTATTGATAAAGTATGTAGATGTTCTCACAACATCCGCCCAAAATGTTTTGGGCAGCCCACAATGTATCCTCATACTCCTTGCACGCTCATTCAATGTTTTGTTCATCCTCTCAGCAATTCCATTCTGCCTGGCCTTACCAGGAATAATTCTCATCAATCTGATTCCCTCAGCTGCACAGAATTCCTTAAACTTTGATTTGTCATACTCTTCTTCATTTTCTGACCTTAGGCATTTGACTTTAAAGCCAGTCTGATTCTCAACCTCAGCTTTCCACTTCTTCAATGTTTCAAACACCTCTGACTTATGCTTCAAGAAGTAAACTCATACCTTCCTGCTGAAATCATCAATGATTGTAACATATAATCTGAATCCTCCAAGTGATGACTGAAGATGGTCGCGAAACATATCTGTGGACCATTTCCAACTGCACTTTCTTTGTCTCTCTAGGAATCTTTTTGAAGCATACTCTTTTCTATTTGCCCATAACACAGCTCTCGCAAAGACCTATATCAACATACTTTAGACCCTCTAATACTACTTTTGCAACCAGCATCTTCATTCCTTTAGCACTTATGTGTCCAAGTCTAATGTGCCACAGACATGAACCGGAAGAACTTTCAGCAACAGTGGCCATGTTTATACACCCTATAGTGGTTTACAAGGTTCCAGATTTGGTGCAAAGAGCGACTACCATAGCACCTTTCACGATCTTCCACGAACCTTTCCCAAACTCTGCTACATATCCTGTGCTATCCAAATGACCAACAGAGATTATATTTTTCTTCATCCGAGTAATATATCTGACATCCTCAAATGTCCACTGGTTTCCTGAGGTGATCATTATGCAAACATCCACCTTTCCTTCAATCTCGAAGGATTTATTGTCAAGAAGATATACTTTTCCAAAATTTCCATAATTGAAATTTTGAAACAACTCCTTGCTTGGAGACGAATGGAAAGATGCACCATAATCCAAAAATTATGATTCAGCCGGGCTTTTCACACTATGGATTAAAGCATCCCCAATGTCCTCTGCTGAATTTACAGAATCATTGTCATCTCCAAATTTCTGATCATGTTTCATCTTTAGCTTTGTAAAGTTCGTCTAAAAGTTCCATTTTTCTCCACAGTTCCAACAAGTCACGTTTAATCTGTTCAAGAATTCTTCTCGATTTTTTTAATTTTGGTCGACCATGTTGATTTTGGCGTTTCATATTACTTCTCCCCCTTCGATAAATGCTGAGAACACTGCCCGATTAATCTCCCACTTCTGGTTTGCGAATACTTCCGCTAAGAACAACATAACAGATTTCATCAAACTTCAGTTTCTCATATCCATGGGAACTGCTAATCGCAGCAACAACAGTATCCTAAGACTCAGGCAGAGATAACATCAAAATCAACCCCTTAATTTCATCTTTGAAATTAATATCCACAGATTTGAGTTGACTCACAATCATATTTAACTCGTTTATATGATCATAAAAGGATCCATTCTAAGACATCTGTAAATTGAACAATCTATAAATCCAATATACCTTGTTCATAGCCGATGATTTTTCATATATGTTTTACAGTGCCTTCAATAGACCAGACGTAGTCTTCTGCTTCACGATGATGAACGCCACCTTTCTTTACAAATTCAACCGGATAAGCCCTAGAGCCTGGCAATCCTTGAGTTTCCACTTCTCCTCTGTCATGGATTCCGGCTTCACCCGGGTCAACGTTTTGTGAAGATCTTTCTGGTACAGATAATCTTCAATCTGTATCTTCGAGAAACCTAAATCGGATCCTTCAAACTTCTCAATTCCAAGCTTCGGACTATCCATCTTTAGTGACCGTGTTGAATATCCTTAGCTCTGATACCAGTTGTTAGGATCAAATTCACGCACACACACTAGATTAATGAAGAACACAAGAACTTTCAAAAGAAGAGATGAAAGATCTAGAGAGAGAAAGAGAAAACCCAATATTTCGTGGTAACACCCTGTGAGTAAACTTCCACGGCAGTGTGGTATATTTATGTTAATGAATAAGAGTATTTTTGGTTACAGAGAATAAATAGGAAAGCCTAAAATATAGAATAAATAAGAAAGCCTAAAATAGAGAATAAATAGGAAAGCCTAAAATTAATTAGGCTCCACTACCAAACAAATAGTCCCACATGCTTTTCATAATTATAGAGCATTGATCTTACTTTATTGGTATGAGAATTTAGATATTAATCTAATAAAAATCTACACATACTTACAATACCAACATCCCAAATGATCTTTAGCAGATCTTCTTTAATGTCTGTCCATGAGTGCACCCGTAATGAGAACATATTACGATCACAAATTAAAATACCAAAGTGTCCCACAGATGAGACATAATTCTTTCCAACAACTCGATTGGTAAAACTAATATTTAATTTTTCTCTAGGTTTGACTCGTGCAACATTTTTAAAATGTTTGTTCTTCTAACCTTTTTTGCATTTTCAAACTCACATGCACCTTCAAATTAGTTCATATCGGATATAAAGAAGTGTTTCATCATACAAAAAAACAAAAGAAAATAGTTTGAGGCAGTAAATACTTATTTCATTTGTTTGAGCATCTTGCATTAGTTCTACTTATCGAGTGTAGGTAACATTATCTTAATATGGATGACAACAAGGAGGTACACGATAAATATTTTTCACTCGATCATTTCGATAAAATTTTGATGGATTGATGTTTAGACTTTTGCTTATTGGAGTTTTATTTTTAGCCCTTACTCTTACAGATCCCAAATATCATAAGACTTTCCCTTGTCCCCTAATTACAAAAGTACTGTTAGATGCGCAAACTACTTGATCTAACTGCATGCAGATATGTCAAGGACTTGGGCATTGGTATTGACATGGATGATGGCAAAATAGTACAACACAAGTTCAAGTTGTTTGGGTGTAGGCAAGACAACTTAAACATGCAAGGCTTACGTGCGGGCTAGAGTCACTGTGAAGGAAGCGTGTTGGCTTGAAAAGGCAAGGCTGTGAAGACTTGACAATGGCAAGAACAAAGGAAGTTAACGTGAATTGCATAAATAAAACTAAGTGTTGGAGGACAGCTATAGCATTCTATGTGTTTGAAGTTGGCTGAAATATTCTAAGTGTTGAAATGAAGCTCGAAATATTCTAACTGTTAGAATATTAGTATTTCGTGTAGATAAGAATGTCATTTGAATTAGATTATATATCTGTTAGAAATATAGTTGTTTCAAACTTAGTTTGAACCCTGTGATGACAAGTGTCGGATATGTGTCATTTGTAACTGCCGCATGTAACAGCCATATGCAGAAATTTTATTAAGGGTGGAAATTCGGCTAAGGCTTAGTCAGAGTGTTTTAGCCTTAAACAAATTTGTGAAGCCTTCCTTTGTATTAATTATCAGATTAATAAAGATTTGGACAAGTTCCTTTAAAGTCTGTTTGTTGTTTAATTTTGCTGCTAAATTGTTTACATACTTAGTCAAATTCGTAACTGTAAAATAGGTCAAGTGTTACTGATGTTTGTAAGACTTCCTAGAGAAGTGTTAGGTAAAATTAAATAGACTCTCTTTCAATTGGTATTAGAGTACGGTTGAACGATTGTGAAGAACGCAGAACTGTGGGAACTTGCATGAAAAATTGAAGTATTCATTGGCTTTACAAATGATATTTTAGGAGACTCAACGTTTGTGGATTTGTTTACACAAGTCATTGATTTGAGACTTGAAGCTGAGAAACATTAGGGGGAGATTGGTGTATATGGACAAAATGTTGATAATCATAACAGTGCAATCTTGGATTTTTGTACCACAACTACTTAACAACTTGAGGGACTGCAGAAGGAAAATGAGAACCTTCGTGCAGAGCATTTTGTATTATGTCGGGCTGTGTCTACGTTAAGTTCAAATCGTGTTTAATCATCTAAGGTTAAAATTTCAGAACCTAAGGCCTTTAGTGGTGCAAGAAGTGATAAAGAACTGGAAAATTTCATTTGGGACATGAAATAGTATTTTATTGCTGCAAGGGTGCCTGACGCTGACAAGTTAAACATTACCACAATGTATTTGATGGGTGATGCTAAAATTTTGTGGAGGACTCAGAATGCAGATGATGTAAGTGCTGGTCGTCCTAGAATTGATACATGGGATAAGTTAATAAATGAAATGGCTAAGGCAGATGGGTTCGGTGAAAAGGCTAAGAGATTAATTGAAATGGCTAACGCAGACAGGTTCGGTGAGGGAATACATTAAAGAATTTACCTTTGTGATGTTAGACATACAAAATATATCTGATGAGGATAAATTACACAACTTCATTTCGGGTATGTAAGGCTGGGCTCAAAACAAACTTCGGAGGCACAATGTTAAAGATCTGCCTGGTGCAATTGATGATGGAGATTGGTTGGTTGATTTCCAGACAACTCGTCCTTTGACAGATGCTCCTTCCACATCAAAATCTAATAAAAAGAACTAATAGAAAGGGGAATGAAAAAAGAGTATTCGTATGGACAGTACAAATGACAAAGGAAAGGCACAAATGAAGGATTGAAAAGATAGAACAAAGAACAAAGAACAAAGATGGTAAATGTAAGGGCTGTTGGACTTGTGGTGGTTCTCATTTAGCCAAGTCTTGTTCTAATCGGGAAAAAGTAAATTCTTTGCTTGCAGGAAATATGAATAAAATAGAGGACGATGAGGAAATCGTGGCTGCAATGGAAAACCCATAGGGATTGTCGTTCAACCATATTACAGGGATTAATAATTTTGGAGAAATGTGTAGTACTTCAAATCCACATGCTTCCCTAATTCATATAGAAATAACAACGAAAGAACAATATGTGATGGCAATGTTTGATACAAGGGAAACTCATACGTTTGTAGATGTGAGAATTTCTACAAAATTGGGGCTGAAATTATCTAAAAGCCCTTCCTACGTCAAAAAAATCAATGCTAAGGCACATGCCATGGTGGGTATGGCTTATGTTGTGTCTATGTCGACTAGAAGTTGGGTACAAAAACATAATTTGATTGTGATGCTGCTCGGTGAATTTTAAATCATACTTGGGATTGATTTTCTAAGAAAATTCTAGTTTGTTCCATTTCCTCACTTAGATAAAGTGATGGTAATGAATGGAAACAATGCTGGATTTCTCAAAGGAGTTCATCCATTTTGGAACATTAATAATGTTGCAAAGAAGAAAGACAAGGGAATGATCTTGCCTGTTACGTCAATCGACAAAGGGCTCAAGAAAGGTGATGACACTATACTTGCTTCCTTGGTCGAAGTGAAATATGATGTTACGATGGAAGTGCATGATTGTGTTGCTGAGTTGCTTAAACAATATGCTGATGTTATGCCGCCTGAATTACAAAAGAAATTACCACCAAGGAGGGATATTGATCATAAAATTTAGTTTCTGCCTTGTACGCCTGGTCCTGCACAAGCTCCTTATCATATGGCTCCTAAGGAATTGGTTGAATTACGCAAAAAATTGAACGAGTTGTTGGATGCTGGATTGATTCAGCCATCTAAGGCTCCATAGGTGCTGCTTTTTTTCCCAAAAGAAACAGGATGGGACGATGCAAATGTGATTATATTACAGGGCGCTGAACAAGGCAACTATAG